TTTATAAGTTTCCATGAGGCCCTCAAAAGCCAGGTTTGAATGTTACTCAGGCAGAAACAACATCAACCAAGAAACATTTTTAATAACACCACAGTTGTATTTTAGCGTAAACCTGCTACTACCATCACTTATTGCTCAACACCTATAATACTAAGAGCCAGACTGGAGAACCTCTGCTGGGCTACCCTTCTCACCTGCTAAAAGGGCCTGGGAAATGTCGTTTTTCTTTTTCCAACCTCTTCAGTACTGGAGGACACACTAGATGGACCAATCCCTAGTATCTATCAAAACTATTATACTGATTAAAGCACTTAGTCTGGCTGGTGTGGCTCAATGGTTGAGCATTGACCCATGAACCAAGAGGTTACCAGTTCAATTCCCAATCAGGGCACATCCTGTTGTTGTGAGCTCAATCCCCAGTTGGGGGTGTGCAGCCAATCAATGATGTTTCTCTCTCATTGATGTTCCTATCTCTCCCTCTCCCTTCATCTCTCTCTAAAAATTAATAAAAACATATTTAAAAAAAAATACCTGAAGCCTAGCAGCAACCAACTGTGAGACACAGAGCCATCACCTAACATGATTAAGAGACCTCTGAGAGTCAACATGGTGTAATGTCCTGGGTACATGAAGAAAAAATAGAATAAATTACGTTACATTTCCTGAAAGAGAGAAGGGATTATTGTTATTATTATTGTTATTTTGAAAAAAGGAATGCAAGGATAAAATGAAAATGGTGATCTACAATGTGTGGGGCTTTTTGGGGCATATCTCATTTAATATAGGTTTAACTTTTCAACTATGTTATCATTTTACATGTTAAAAACTGTAAAATTTACAAGGATTAGGGAAAGGCCTTAAACATGAATATAAACAGAAACTGATGAGCCTACCTACAGCCTCCTCTCTTGTTCCAGGCTCTCTTCTTTCCAGTGTCTGGGGACCCTGGTGTTTGAGTCAATCTTCAGAGCAGAGCCCTCTGACCGTTACATTCAGCCTGTAGAATGAATGAGAAGGAAGCCAGTAGTTAGTTCAGCAACTTCGTGATTTTGTTTTGTTCCTGCAGCATAACGTAGCCCAAACTGAGGAATGAAACAAAATCTGAAGAGAGTGTGATGTCATGGCATTTTAAAGACAGATTACTATCAGCCTCCAAACCTTTATTTCCTCGGCTACTAGGACATGAGACACAATCAATTTCAGTATCGATCTAAAATTATCATCATCAACTTACATATATTTCTAGACATTGTGATTCGGAGAGGTGAATTGTGGATGAGTGGAGACATAATAAGCACCAATCAGAATGAGAATCGTGACAGTCAAAGTCTCTGAGATGGTGACAGGGACTCTGTGATTGTTGCCATTCATTCCAGAAACCAGGGTAATGAAGGAATGTTTCTATTTGTTCACTGCCACACATAATAGAAAAATGTCTCCCTTTGGGAACCAAAAGCTTTTGGGGAAATGACTAGAGAAGTAGAACAAATAGGTACAAAGAATGGGAAAGGATATACCAACGAAAGGCATGTTGAGAGATTACCTAAACGTAATGATTAAAGGAAAGAAGTATATATGAAGAGCTGGATAGCAATGGGGATAAAAATAATAGGTGCTATAAGTTATTTCTGGCAATTGTTTTTTTATATATATTTTG